GTTAAGTTTACTGGGAAACAAGTTTATGACTTGTAAGATTAGTGACTTGGGATAGCGCTTAATGTAATTGTTTTAAGTACTTCTTTTATGCCACTGCTGTGTTTGTTTACTGCATTAAAGTAAAATGTATTATCAACTTTTAGCTAACAATTGCAATGGAACCTTCATCCTCTAAAAGCACTTCATACTTTGCAACAAAAGATGTATACAAAACAAATAAATGATGGTCAGTAGATGCATACAACACAGAGATTCAAACATCGCATGACGCTTACCCAGATGAATTGTCCAATGGTCTGTGTACGATCATGATACAGTTTGGCAAATTCTGATGACAAACTCAAGAATATGCATGAACAAGCAATATGCTTAATGTCAAGTCCCCTTGCAATAGCCATATATGATATAAACTAAAGAGGACTTTAGATCATGCTACAAGCTCTTTCTTCTTTGTCACCTCTAGAAACAATCATAAAATGTGTTCGTAAGGCTATGGCACCCAATCTTCCAACATTTAGCAAACTACAAGCCACAAAACGTAGTATCCAACAATTAGAGCTTGGATTCCAAAACCACTATGGTCAGTAGATGCATACAACACAGAGATTCAAACATCGCATGACGCTTACCCAGATGAACTTGTCCAATGGTCTGTGTACGATCATGATACAGTTTGGCAAATTCTGATGACAAACTCAAGAATATGCATGAACAAGCAATATGCTTAATGTCAAGTCCCCTTGCAATAGCCATATATGATATAAACTAAAGAGGACTTTAGATCATGCTACAAGCTCTCTTTCTTCTTTGTCACCTCTAGAAACAATCATAAAATGTGTTCGTAAGGCTATGGCACCCAATCTTCCAACATTTAGCAAACTACAAGCCACAAAACGTAGTATCCAACAATTAGAGCTTGGATTCCAAAACCACTATTTGAATATATTAATGGCGAAAAGAGAGCACATTCTACATGTCCTGTGGCCATGATATTAGGGGGAAAACCCCAAGAAAAGCCTATTCTGCTCCCAATATTACCAGAATGCAAATCATTAATCATCAACCATTATTTGGTCACTGAGTCGGATTTTGTATGAAATCATTAAAAAAATCCATAAAGAATATAATAATCTCAAAACCAACTCACCCAAGCCTATCCATCCTATTAACATCTAAAAAACTTCATATGCTCCAACGATTTCTACGACGTGGCAGACAAATTTAAGTTTTCATTAACAAGATCCCAAGCTTTTAGCCCCCGTAGCTTAGATACTTGAAAGATATGCAATCATTAGGACCTGAGCAGTGACAAATTTCTCTTAAAACATTAAAAATACAAACAAGAACCTTCATCAGCTTTTGCCAATGTCAGTATAAGAAATTTTGAGGAATATATTCTGGAATTTTCTTGTCCAAATATATTCTTATCACCAGCTGAACGTTCAGTCACCATAAAGTCCAGGGTTTCTATGGATTAAGGGTTTCTCTTTCTAACCTTTTGCCTCCTCCAAGACCACCTGACAATAATCTTCTCAGTTGAAGTATCACTAATTAACCCCAAACAAAAAAAGGATTTCGTAACAAAGCAAATTGTGCAACATATCACAAATTTTCTCATTTCTAGTTTCTAATGACTACATTAAAAATGCTGTCTTTAGTGCATACAGACCCCAAAAATACTTAGAAAAATCTCAGCAGTTAACATTTACTTATAATGCTTTTAATGCAACACACATGAACAAATTAGCAATAAACTAATAAACCCAACAGCAACATACATGAGGTTCAAGCATCAGCCCCATCTTTTCCAGCAAAAGGGTTGTGAGTAGGACCAACATCCTGCCCAATATGGCGCTGAACCAGCCTTTGCAAATCAGCCATAACCTTGTGCTCACGTTTTGCTTTCTCTTCATAGTTAAACATAGCCAATGCCCTCTTGTCCTCCGCACTGTAAACCTGGTTTTCTTTCCTAATACGAATGGCATTCATTCTCTGATGTCTGCTACCACTCATCACAAACCCAAGGTCCTCAAACTTTTGAATCTCCTCAGCAGAAAGACCCACTTCACCTCTTCGTGGGATACGCTTTCCTTGTTGGACATATTGTGCAATAGCATCACCTTCACCAGGCCTCAGAGCACCACCATAACTTATATGTCCCTCGGCTCTTGGCAATGGTGCCGGGCCAACAATAGGCTCATTATCTAATGCAGTTTTCTTCTGAGCCTCTATCATTTCTTTGAACATAAGAGCTTCAGCAGCATTAATATCAGCCATATTAGGATCATCTGTAATTGTTTTACTCTTGGCATCGACTTCAGAATCTGAGCTCTTATCAGAATCCAAAGTTTGACTTTCAGATTCTGATCCTCTCCTTTTCTTACTCTTTCTAGACATTGAATTCGGAGAGTTTTTCCGCTTCTTTGACTTCACACGATCATCAGAGGATATGTACGTTTCGCTTTCACCACTACCGCTCTCATCAGAACCACTATGCCTACTCTTCTTCCTGCTTATTTTCCTTCTACTGCTTTTCTTACTATTCTTATTACGGCTACTCTGCTTTCTCCTCGACTTCCTTCTCCGTTTGTCTTCCTCGTCATCAGATTCGCTATCCCTGGAAGATGATGTCTTCCTGCTTATACGTTTGCTTCTCCCACTTCTTCGCTTAGAAATCGACCCCTTCTTCCTCTTCCTAGATCTTGAATAATCTGATTCAGATTCCGACTCACTCTCTGACTCGCTCTCCGATTCGCTACTACCAGATTTGTCAGACTCGAACTCGGATTTAACTCTCTTATTGCTCTTCTTTTCGTTTTCTTTATCAGATTCTTTCTTCTCATCACCTTTATCATCACCGTACTTCTCTGAAATTTCATCACCTTTATCCTCCAAATCATCGTCTTCATTCCTTGGCGGACTCGGCGTATTCTCCCAAATACAGAATCTCAAAGCCTTCCTCATCTTCTGCCTCTTCAGCCTCCTATACTCCTCAAAGTTCAATCCTTTCAACTCCTCGTCCGATTCCGACTCCGATTGTTTTCCGTTCCTATAATCTCGGTCCAGGTAGCTATGATTCTTTCCAAATTTCTTGGGCAGAGATTTTAGGTTTCGGTCAAGGGTAGGGCTCCGCCTTCTAGGGTTTTCGCCTCCAGGAGACTCTGCTCGGTCTCGGTCATACGCATCGTAACTGGGACTGCGTCGGCGGCGGTGGTAAGCGATAGAATCATCAGATTTTTCGCGATCAAAACGCTGTCTTCTTTCAGGAATTTCGTTAGGGCTTCGTCTTCTAGGGTTCCTGTATTCAGGCGAAACAGAATGGTCAAGCTGTTGGTTACCCTTGCGTCTCTGGTGGTCGCGTCCGTACGCTTCATAGCTAGGGCTATGGCGGCGACGGCGGTAGTGGGGGGAACCATCGGATTCCGATATGTAGCGGTCGTTTTCGCGATCAGATTCGTGCCTTCGTCCCGGAACTTCGACTGTGGATGTCAGGCGGCCCATCGGATTCCAATCAAAGGACGTAAGCAACTCGAAGTATCGACTTTTGCAAAATTATCAAAAGCGAGCGAAGAGGATCAGATCATGTTCATCGAAAAATTTATCCCGAACCTCAAATGAAGATAACGATTTAGGCGGAATATGAAAATAACATATTCTAAAGCCTATTGAGCTTGAGAGGCTACAACCCAAAGTCCCAATGAAAGTGGACTGGCCCAATATTTATATAGGCAGGCTCTCCTGCTTTAGTAAAATTATTTTCCCCTAAAATCGTAAAATTACCCTTTGGTCCCTGATTTAGTAAAAGTGTCCGTTTGATCTTAAAATGACAAATTTGGTTTAGATGTTATATAGTGTTTGAGGAGCACATATAGGGATTGGAACTGGTCGGCTTTCGGTCAACATCCGATCCGAAAATTATATATCTTCTATCTGACCCGTTTTGACATGAAAATATACACTTTCACTCAATCCAAATCTGACCCGACTTTTTGAGATAAAATTTGAACTCGATTCGACCCGAAATAATATATTTATCAAAAATATTAGTTTTATTTCAATAAAAATATGGATTTAATTGAAAAAATAATATATAGAGGGTTATTATTGTAATTATCCTTAAATATGTAAGGTAAATTATATTCTTTTCGGGGTCAGGTGGGATATTTTTCACCCTAAATCCGAATCTGACTCGAACATACCTATGAGAAAACCCAACCTTACTCGACCCGACCCAATTTTTTAAGAAAACCCCGACCCGATCAGATTGTATCAGGTTAAAACCCGTCAGATTGAGATCTCATGCCCATCCCTAAATACATTATTTAAATATGATTAAAAATAAATTTAAAATAATATAAAAATTAGAAGTAGGTGGAACTAATAATGAATATTATAGTTAATTTAAATTTATCGAATTAATGAATTATATTTTATCATTTCAAATTTATTTATTTGAATTTTAAAGAAAAAACATTGGAGGTTCCTATACTTCTAAAAAAATCAATGTGGCTCTCGTATTGTTTTTTCTCTCAATGTGGTCCTCCAACTCAGAAAATAAACCCAATGTGATCATTTGACCAACATTTTTTCGTCGTTAACCATTACAATGATGGCATGACAATTCATGGTGCTTACATGACGATCCACGGTGCTGACGTGACAGTCCATTTGCTATTTTTGAGTTATCAATTTAGCCCATCTCTAATGTCATCCTCTATGTTATTAACCACTGTAAACTGCTACGTCGATACAGTAAATTAATCTATCATATCAACATCATAACAATTAACGACGAAAAATGTTGGTCAAATGTCACATTGAGTTTATTTTCTTAGAGGACCATATTGAGAGAAAAAATAATACGAAGACCATATTGGTTTTTTTCAAAAGTACAATGACCTCTATTACATTTTTGCCAATAAATTTTGAACCAATTTTTTATATCAAATGTACACCCATCTCAACCAATAATTGATGTGAATGATGAAGAAAGTAATCAAGGATAAAGGCCAGTTTTCCAATCAATGCATCATCACCAATTGACAAATCCAAATCATATACAATACTTTGATCTGACAAAAATTAATTTATAATATTTCTACATCATCTCCTCTCTTATCTCTATCTGCAGGCTGAGAGGGTTAAACCAAAATTAAAGTAAAGAAAAAGAAGAAGAAGAAAAACAAGAACTGGGTTTCAATGTTTGGTTTATGAATTCAATCATTTGAAACTTGAAAATAATTTAACCATGCAGCAATGGAATGTTCTTAATTCTCCTCTCCATCAAGAACCATTTCCTGGTATTGGCATTCTTGACTGCAAAATGCTTTATCGCCTCTGCAATTATTAAATCAACCATCACATTATGCCCATTTAAGCTCAACAGAATCTAGATGAACACGAACCTGTAAATGTAAATGTCGATTTTCTGGTGAAGATTCTTCTTGCATGTATGACAGAAGCTGAGGAAACTCTGGGATGCACTGCAACCGGACGCCACGACACAGTCATCGAAGATATGGGTTGTTTTGGGGTTTGGCCCGTGTGATATAACGCATGTGTAATCCTCTGATAGCTCCATTTCTTCGACAGGGAGGCGGCCATTGATGATCCTTGGTGAATCCTTCATGCAAAATGGTGACGAGGGAATGTGAGAATTCCTGGTTTTGATCCCGAAGTCACCTGGGGATTTTGGGGAGGAAGTGTTGCTGTATGGAGATGGTGGGATTAGAGGAATCTGAACCCTGAGTTTTGGTTTATCTTTTAGTGCATCGACTATGGCAAGAGCAATACCTTTCGGTTCTGGGATTTCAGGTGAGCGGTGCTTGTTCGACGAGAAAATTTCTGGGGATTTTGGCTCGTAGCCCAAGGGGTTATTACATAGAGGGAAGGATGGTTTTTTATCGAGGATTGAAGTTGGACTCTTGAGAGCTTCGGGTTCGGTGAGATTTTTTGCTATGAAAGCTTTGAATCTCGGAGACCATAAGAAAGACGGGGTCGAAGAAGTGAGATCCTTTGGAGAAGATGATGATTGAGAGCCATGATCAGCATTAAAGCTTGCTTGTTGCTGCTGGTCACTGCTCTGGCCTATCCTCAGCATAACTCGAAGCAACTGGTAAACCAACAACAACGAGAGAGAAAAAAGCCATGGATTTACCTCTGAAATTAAGACACAAATCTAAGCAAAAGCTTTGTTTTTAACTTCGAAAAAACCAAAAAAAAACGTATAATCTGGGAAATTGAAACGCAACCTAAATCTCTGTAGCCTCCATGGCAGAAAAAGAACAGTCGGATTCCTTGTACTCTTTTCAGTTTCTTCAAATCAAAAACTGTTTTTCAACAGTGACGAGAATCAATACCCATCATAATACACCCGCGTGCCAAGCACATGGTGAAGATCAGCAGCCACGATCAAGCTGCCATTTTTTTACTGCAAAAGAACCATCTAACGTTGAGTCTCTAGTGTTTTGCAATTCCCTATGAAATGAAAAACATCGCCATCACCAAGTAAATGATATATGTGTATGTGTGTATAGTTTCAGTTAGTGGGATCTGATTCTTGAAATGGATTTAACGCTGCCAATCTACCTTTTATTCAGCTTTACAAAATCGCCATTAATTTGCAGAACTTCCAAAAGAGAGAAGAAAAGGTATAGCCGGAAAAGGTAAGAGTTCTGTTATTGCGTGAGCGTTTTAAAAGAAATAAATAAGAGAGGAGAGTGCAACTATTAGGTCACAATTAGGTTGAGTCGAGTCAAATAAAAAGATTTTAAGTTATTCGAATTGATAAGTCTTGTTTTACAATTTAAAGTTGATTTTAAATTTTTTAAGTCAAGACGAGTTTTTAAATTCAAGTCGAGTCATGGTAAATTTTTAAGTTTCTGTTTAAATTTAATTGTATATATTTATAATATTATGATGTTGTTTTATTCGAATTTAAATAGGTTTTATAATCATATACGATATTTATATATTTCTTTATATTTTTTCATATGTGATATACATAAATCATACATAGTCGAGATACACAACTCAAACTTAAAAATCACTTTGTATTTGTAATGTATTTCTCGTAATATTTATACAACTATTTATTTCTTAAAATTTGTTTTAAGTATATAAGATACTAAATTTATTTTGTAGTAATTATACAAGCATGTAATTTTAACTTTTAAAAATACAATTTATATTATATAATTTTTTGTTTACTGATGTATTTTTGCATTATATATTTAATTGTTTTTTAATAGTATATATAACTATTGCTTTTATTATATTTATATTTTATAATCAAATCTAGGAGGGTAACAAGTCGGATTTGATTGAGTTTTTGATTAACCCGATTCGACTCAAAAAATATGTATCATTCACAAGAGTTCGACCAGAACCAACCTGAAAAGTGTATCATCCACCCGGTTCTGACCTAACTTGAATTTTTAGAATATAGATCCTACTCGATTTAATATAAAATAAGGACTTAGATAAATAATAATATTTTTAAGGAAATTATAATATTATCCCGAATCGGATTAAATCATATTTTTTTCACTCTCTATCCGAACCCGATCCGACCCGCTCCCATAAAAGTCCAACCCGAATCTAAATTTTATGAAAAAAAATAAATTCTATCGAATCAAATCAGATCAAAACCTGTCGACTTATGATTAAATTATCATCTTACCATATTAATGATCTATCTACGTTGAGCATGATACAGAGAGGACAGAAACAAACTGGGGCCCGCATCTGATCAACGTCATCCAAGAAAATAAATCGATTTTTTTGTCTTATGGGGCCCATTGCTGATGGTGATGGGCCCATTGAAATTCAACGGTTACCGTAGCAAATCATAAAGCCGGGCTTCTGTATTTTTCTATGAAAACGACGGCTTATAATTATATAGATAAATACTATAAAAATACAGTAAAGAAATGGTTACACAGAATTATTTAAATTTAAAAATATTTAATAAATTCATATTAATATAAATATAATTTTATCAAAAATAAATTTAGCCTTTTGAATAATATATAAATAAAATAATAATAAAAAATTGGGTGTTTGTTTCTGCCTGTATGTACTTGTATATTATATAAATATAATACATATAATATAGTATTAGATAATATACAAATATAATACATAACATTATAGTATTAGATAGCATATACTATTTTAAACTTTACCTTAATCCTTTCGAAGAATGATTATGAAATATTTTATAAAGGTACTTTCATTTTAAGGTAAAATTAGCCCAATAATTTAGTCGTAATAATTATTTAAGTTTATAGTACAATTTAAAAATTAATTAATAATCTATGATATTTATTATAATAATTTAAAATTCATCACGTGAGTACGATGAGATTTAATAAAAAATATTTTTATTAAAATTTATTAGGTTGATATGATAGATTTTAATAAAAAAATTATACTTTATTTTAGAAATCATTATATTCACCTGACGAGTTTGAATTAAAAAATATTTTTTAGAATTCATCACATTCATATGTCGAGTCCACCCTTCACTATAATAAAGGTCGTATATCTCAAAATAAACTTTAAATTATCTTATTAGACTAAATAATTTATCCGTCTGGATTATTGTCCTCAATTTACCAATATTTTATATTTTCTTTATCTCATATCGATATTTGAATTTAAAAAATTCTCATATATATATATTATCATTATTATAGTTCAAAGCAATAAAAATCAAAGTATAATAAATTTAAAGCGATAAAGTTCGTATTATCGTGGTTAAATGAATAGTTATCTTTATTAAGATATATATTATCATTATTATAGTTCAAAGCAATAAAAATCAAAGTATAATAAATTTAAAGCGATAAAGTTCGTATTATCGTGGTTAAATGAATAGTTATCTTTATTAAGGTCACAGGTTAGAGCATCAATAATTATAGTAGGTTAATTGAGCATTAATTATCAAATGATTAAGAGTATTTAAAACATATATTACTTATAATTACATTAACCTAATAAAAAATATAATCCATTGAACCATCATAAGTACTTTACTTTCTATATAAAAAATAGGGTAAAATACACAAATGATCTATTGACAATAGAATATTATTTTATTAAGTCACTCGATTATTAAAAGTTATAAAATGATCATTTGACTATAAAAAATTACTTTTGTTACGCCCATCAAATATTAAAAATTAAAAAATGGTCACTCAACTATTTATTATGTTTCAAACTCATCATTTTTTCGTTAAAAAATTAGCAATTATCTAAGGTGGGCGTTAACATGATGGCCGATATATGATAGTTGTTTGAGATTATAAGATCATATTTTATCATATCACAATCAGTAAATTAATGTAGATCAGAATACCGTTAAATTTTTAACAAAAAAAAACGAATTTGAAACATAATTAATAGTCGAGTGAACTTTTAATAGTCGAATGACTCACCAATGCAACACTATATAATCGGAGGATTATTTTATAATTTTTAATAATCGAGAGACTTAATAAAATAAAGTACCTTTTAGATACTTTATCTCAGAAAAAATAAGTACCTTTTTGGATGGTTAAAACTCAAAAGAGGATTGTTCCACGGATAACCTTCATCCCTACAAATAAAGTTTGATACCATAATCTTGCATATACATCTTACACAATATCTAATTAAAAAAAATACACCCTAAGCCCCTTAATAATTAATAAGATTACAAATAAATTATTTATTTTCGTCGGATTAATGAACTATTGATATATTTATTATTTAATAATTTTAGTATTCGACTGATGAAATAATTTAAGTGATGTTGTTTAGATTTCTGATGTGAATATTATACTATTGAGTAAAATTTTATTTTAAATTATTTATTTATATTGATTTTATATCAAAATGGAATTAATTTAATTATGGAAAAATCATCAAAATAAAATCAAGGTGTATTTTGATGACTAGGTTGCAAATGGATTGTGCTTTCCTTTATAAAACTCTAAACATATAGAACTAAGATAATATCACAAAACAACTATATATTCGTGACATTTTATTAAGTCTCTCAATTTATTAAAAACTATAAAATGATTATCTGATTATAAAATATTATTTTGTTAAATCTATCGACTATTAAAAGTTACAAAATGATCATCCAACTATTTATTATATTTCAAACTCATCATTTTCGTTAAAAAATTAGCGGTTGTCTAAACAGGGCGTTAACATGATGGCTGAGATATGATAGTCTTTTGAGATTCTGAGATCATATTTTATCATATCACTGTTAGCAATGACGTTCACTCAGAATGCCATCAATTTCTTTTACAGAAAAGACGAATAGTGGAGTGACTATTTGTAACTTTTAATAGTCGAACTCAATAAAGTAACACTCTATAGTCGAAAGACTATTTTATAACTTTTAATAGTCGTGAGACTTAATAAAGTCATACTCTATAGTCGAAGGACTATTTGTATACTTTACTCAAGAGTTAAGCATTTTTTTTGGATGCTTAAAACTCAAAGAGGCACAAACCAACTTAATTCGGTAGTTAAATGAATCATTATTATTCTTAGGGTTACATGTTCGAGCACCGAAGATTGTAGCAAACGATTTAACGTTTATTATCAAATATTGAGAGTATTTTAATAGAGAAACTACTTTGTACCTAATAGATGTGAATATTATTCTATTGAGTGAAATTTTATTTAATTAATTTGTTTATATGATTTACGTCAATTTGAATTAACTTAATTATGGAAAAGTCATCAAAATAAAAATCGAAGTCTATTTGATGACTAGGAAGCTGCAAAGGGATTTGTGCTTTTCCTTTAATAAAACCCTAAAATGTTGCTTTCATTGTATGGTGGTTCTGAAAAATATAAAATCCATCTATAATAAATTAAATTATAAAATATCAAAATTTATCGATATAATTGTTTTTAAAAATAAATAAAAAAATTCAGCATATAAACTTAAGATAATGTCACAAAATAATTTATATAATTAACCGTGACATCTTACTTAAAAAATATCATAATTTGAATAGACTTAGAAATAAAATCGTGATATTTTCTTTAAAGTGTGGGATCCTATGAACAAGATACTGTTATAGATGCGTGACAATGACACTATAGCCTTATCTACTCCATGGATTTCTTTGACAATTACGTCACAGTCACAGTTAGTCATCCCTTTCCATTATCTTGAGACTTAAGTGGCATGATTCTATTCATCGACAGTGCCACATGGTGACATGCAATAGGGAGGAGAGTAAGTTGAAAGTTTAGAGTATAAGGAAAGGTAACCGAACCTAATTTAAGACTAAGAAAAGATACGACCGAAAATATTATAGAACTCATAACATTTTAGATTGGATTGGGCACAGCTTAAAATGTTAATTTTTTCTTAATATTTTTCGATTGAAAATCTTCTTTATAACATTTTAGATCATACCTTCTCATCAATTGAAATACTTCCCTGCAATTTCTCCAGCAGTTTGGCTCCGCCGGGTATATCACTATCAGCCAACACAGCCGGTTCCGGCTCTGAAGAGTTAGGACTGCTCTTCTTGAGACCGGAAGTGGCTCTCACTCAGGAGAAAGACGAAACATCAGATCCTTGCAACTTAGAGGCACCTGTTACCATCCATAATAATCCTCTGGATATACTACAGCTAAGGCTTGTAGGAATGAAATT